TTACGGAGAGAATTGAGCATTATTCATTGACATAGAGAAATGAATGTATTTGGCGATTAATCTCTGATGACCTATCATGGCAGAGCAGAATCTAGATGGTGGTGGTGGTGAAGATGAGTGAGGTTTGGATGAAGCTCCAGTTGATATGTCTATGAGGTGAGGATGGGGAGGAGGTGGGTTGCATGAATGCGAGTCTGAAAGCGAGAATGACAGAGAGTAGATCCCGAAAGTTTGAATCTATTCATCTGGACGTAGCATTTTCAGTGGGAGAAACGTTTCGTCACTCATCCAAGTGACTTCTTCACTCTCAGCTGACTGCAGGTTTCCCCAATCTTATAAACAGTACATCGCACAATGACTGAAACTAGCACATGAACATAATCCAACTTTGGGGATTTACTTACCTGGATGATCGAGCATGCATCAAGACGAAGAGTAGAGATTTAAACCACGTAGAGTGGAGGCTAATTGGCTCAAAGAATGTGGGCAAGAAGGTGATTGGATTAGAGTAATGATGTCAGTACTGAGTTTGACAACGTGGGAAAAAGTAGTGGAGTCAAGAAGAGACTAGTAGCAGCCAAACAACCCAGGAAAGCAGGCAGATGAGTGACTGCGGATCTGCCTAATTGAAGTTGCGCATAAGCTTCATTGGGAAGGTAGATGAGATTATATGTTTTAGCATTCAAAATTTAGATAATTATATTTAGAGATATATACATATTATCTAGCATTCTAGCTTTAGTTGGGATGATGACATTGCTGATTTCATATACTATGTACTGAATCAGTAATTTATAATAATGATAATACCAATATAATACCATGACTCCTTAAATTACAGGATACTACAGCAAACGAAAATCAAAAATCACATATCCAAATAGTCCTCTTTAGGGGCCACTGTAAATTAGTCCTCCTTTGGTGTTGCAGCTTATTTTTGACTGTGGTGAGAAATGTGATTTGCTACAGTCTTAACAGTGTTTTAAAAAGCATGTGCCTGACAAGATTTAAGATGTTTTAAATTTTACTGGATGCCCTTCTTTCACAATTTGTGGTAGATCCATCCAATGGCAATTCCTTTTGTACACTAAAGGAAAAAAGCTGAAAAGGTTACAACACAAACTTTTAAATGAACTGTGACTTACAGGACAATGTCAAGCAGAGGCAGAGGCAGACATTTGATACACCCGGGGCTTAGCCCTAAAGGGTAGTATGCATGTGGGATTGGGGTGGGAGGTGGGGGGTGGGGGGGTTAGAAATGACTGAAAGATTAATAGGCTCTTTTTTGTTCAAAAAAGAATGACTTCATATAGGGAAAAATATATATCACATGTGCAGGACACCTTAAACTAGTTTTTTAATTAAGCAGCAAGGCAGAACAAAGTCTGGGCTGTATCAAGACTCGAGGACTAAACCCCAATTCAACCAGACCCAGAACTGATCCGGAATTAAAACAGGACTACAACAGTTCAAATCAGGACTACTTAGGATTTAACCAAGACAGAACCAGAATCAGAACTAGATGATAGTAGCACTAAAAATCATCATAGACCTGCACTACACTTATTTTTTAATTCTACCAAAGTCCACTATTTAGATTGAGAAAAGTTTATATAATTATTTAGCCTTGTTGTGCAAACAAGCCTGCATAACTTGCTGACAATCAAACCAAACACCAACATCATCAAATATACAGTTGAAACCAGATATTTACACACTCTTCAGATAAAAACACAAACACTTTTTTAATTGTAACATCAAATCAGACTAAATGTTTATTTTTTTAGATTGATAAATATAAAAAACATATTTGTTAATTTTAAGAGTAAAGAGAGAAACTATCTGTATTTCATAATTTTAAATGGCACCAAATTGTATGGACATGGACTCTACTAACCTATCAGAAGCTTCTTCAGCTCAGAATGGAATCGTCTGGAGTTTTCTTATTAATTAACAATAAACTTAGTGTACATGTACTCCTAAATTTGATGAAAGAGATAAAAAGAGACAGCTCTGTCTGTCTTTATTCTGACATTTAACTAATTCAAAAGATATTTCAATATTTATTTATCCAAAACAAAACAAGTTTACTCTAAATTGATGTTGTACAGTAAAAAAATGTTTTTGGGTTTTCCATAAAGTGTATGTAAATATCTGGTTTCAACTGTGAATATACTGCTGTGTATTGAAATTCCTCTTGTTTTGAATAGGAATATACTGAACAACATACAAAGCATAATATATAAAATAACATCTACCAGTTTTTTCTTTAAAAGAAGCCCCTTATGTCCATTCTTGTATATCAGTACATTACTGAAACCGATTTATTTAGACGTGGAGGGAAACAACTGAAAATATGAAATAAACATACATGTAAGCTAAGACTCTCTAAAGAAACAGCATTGTTGTTGTTCGGCTTTTCATTTCGCCATTTGTTGATTCACTTGAAGAGCAAGTAACGTAACATGGGTCAAGTGATCAGTTTGATATCAATCTTTCGTGATACACCGTCATATTTACATTATTTGTACAGTACGAATGATTTTCTTTGGTACCTGGTCGAACTTCAGTTCTCCCCTCTGTCTGCCTGGCTGCACTTCTCCAACAGCGCACTTGCAAGCAGCAGCTCCCCCTGCCCCCTCCCTCAGTGTCTGAGCTGGGATCATACCAATATTAGGGGGGATTTACGCACAGTCGTAAATTCCCACAGTGTGCACTATGTGCTTTGAATATTGTGTGTAGTTTTTGTTTTATACAGTTGTCAGACAGGCATCTAGCTATGAAAAAATTACACTCCAAAAGACCCTGGGCTTCTGAAAAAACAATCCGGGGTTAAGCCCAGTAAGCCACCCCCCGCTCCGCCACTGATGTCAAGACATGTTTCTAGCAGGGCCCAGCAGAGGGTGGTGGTAATGCACATACAGTTCGGACCGTGTGTGTGTAATTTTGCCTCTGCACACTACTACGGAAGATTTTAAATCAAACAATCAGACAGATGCGAGTGGAAGTGAGGGGCACCGTTATAAGGCTGAAGAAACCCAATCAAAATTCAACTAAACCAATCAGAGAAAAAGCAAGAACTTCGGAGTGGTCGAATCAACAATATGGTTCATTGTTTAAAAGAAGGAGTTTACTGGAAAGCTTAACAACATCAAAAAAGCATGAAAGAGCACAAAATACCACCAAAGTGGATGATCACAGAATTATTTCCATGGAAATGAAAACACCTTCACAAGAACTCGCATAGTCAAGAAAACTGTTGACGAGGCATAAATATCAAGGTCTACAATCATTCCTTTGTGCACTTCAATCACATGACTGATTTAAAATCCACTGTGGGGGTGTACACTGTGTCTGCCCAACAAAGTATGGACCTATATGTAAAAAGATGCAGAAAGGTGCTAAGAAACAGGAATAAGGAACAAGTGCATTTAAAAGAGTAGCATTAAAAGAAAAAAAAAAGGGATACAATAAGATGCAGCTAACCCTGGGTATGTCTACAGGGGTAAAGTTAGGATTACACAACATAAGGCACTTGTTGGCAGAGGGAGCGGAGAGAAATAAAAAGCTGTGGGCGGCTAGTGACACAGAACGCAACAACTACTTAAATTATTCAGTTAAACTTTAGTCCAGCTGTACTACTGCCAGCAATACAACCTTGGATACTTTATGACAACACCGTAGATTTCACTTATCTTTATAATTCACATACTGATGTGTGCAGAGGTATAAAAGAATAGAATTGCAGTAGCATTTAGTATTCTGAAGTTTCATCTCAAAGTAAGGAGCAGTGTTTATGACTATGCACAAGAAAAAAACACTTAAAATATCCTTTTAAGAGAAAACAAGGTCATTTGAATTTGATGACAGTAAACGAGTTGGGGCACCGTCATGTTTACCACTATAGCATACCCTTTTCTTTTAATAAAAGATATAAAAGATATAAAAGATAGAATATCTGGGAATTGAGGAGACCACCTCTGGAATGTTGATGAAGGATTCTAGCGGAACAAAAAATCCTCGGTCTTCTTTGATGCACCAAATGTTTTCAGCTGGTGAAAGATCTGGACTGCAGGCGGTTAACCTCACCACCAAAACTTGTCTGCTACAAACCCAGGCTGTTATAATAGCTGCAGAATGTAGTTTAACATTGTATTGCTGAAACATACAAGGCCTTCTCTGAAAAAAGATGTTATCTGGATGGAACGTGTGTTGCTTTAAAATCTGTACATACATGTCAACACTGATTGACCCTGTCTATATGTGCAAGCTGCCAGTTCCATCGGCCCTAATTCACTTTCTTACCAACAGAGAAGCAGGATTTAAGCATTGAGTAAAGCCAGCAAGTTGGATGGTCCCTCCCCTCTTTAGTCCAGCGTCTATATCTTTTCAAATATTTGAAGTAATTTTACCAAGATTTCTTCCTTTATCTAAACTCAAACGTTTATTTTGCAATGACCCCGATGAAGGCCACAAGCTGAAACGCTTTGGTCAGCTAATAAAGTTTTTCCATAGTGCTTCAAGTGTCGCTGGAGTCTTCATGCCACCAGACATTTAACCACACAGCAGTTTTTTACTTTGCTTCAGTCCAATTTAAAAGAACTGTGTTCATAGTAGATGGCAGCGTCCCATAATGTTCACGTCTGGCTTCTTCTTTACATGGTTACATGGTACAAGCTTTAATCTCCATTTGTGGATGACATGGTGAACACAGATAATCATTTCTGGAAGTTTCCTGAGTGCATGCAGTGATCTCCATGACGGAATCATGCCTGCCTTTTAATGTGGTGCTGTCTGAGGGCCTGAAGATCATAGACATCCAATAGACATCAGAATTATCCTTTGCATACAAAGATTTCTCCAGATTCTCTTAATGATATCATGTACTGTAGACCGTGAGATGTTCTAAATATTTACAGTTTTATATTGATGATAATTCTGAAACAGTTTTTTGCAGATTGGTGAACCTCGGACCACGGTTAATTCTGAGAAGCTCTGCCTCTCTAAGATGTTCATTTTATACCAAATCATGTTATTGACCTGTTGCTAATTAGCCTAATTAGCTGCAAAGTGTTTCTCCAGCTGTTTCTTTTTAGTTTCGCCTTCTCATTTTCTTTTTTGAAACGTCTATTAAATAAAAAATGAGCCACATTTTTTCATGAAACAGTAAAATGTCTCGGTCCAAGCTCCACACCAGCTGGTGGCGGTAATGCAATAATTTATTGTTCACCAAAAATAAAAGAAGAACGCCTGCGCGCTCTAGAGCTCAACGCTGAATGCTGGCGATGAAGGCATTAAACATTAGTGCACTTCATTCTGTCCTGTCATGTTTCTGACTCATGCGGAGGTATGGGGGACATACTGGGAGTGCGTTTTCACGCCGTTCACGGTGATCATCTGCTCCCTCACAGCCGCACTGTACTATCTGTGGGGCCGCAAGTGTCAGGTCAGATTCCGTGGTTACTTTATTCTGTTTCCTTTTCACTATGCTACTTTCCAATTAGTTACAAAAATGTATATGTTTACTTCAAAAAAGTTCTACTTTACCCCTCAGCTGAGTCTTGTACGCTTTTGCGAGATGTAGAATTAAGTCTGTTTGGTAAAGGGAAAAAAATTAAACCGATCACACCACCGACCACAACTAAAGCTCAAATTAGTCATCACAGGTGTATAAAATAAAGCACCTGTATGGGTCGTTCTGAAGATTTCGTGAACTCAAGCGTAGTGATGAAATGGGATCTCGCCGTTTCCTTCCTCCTATATATTCCACAATCAACAATCGGTGGGTTTCACACAAAGTGGGAGTGTTTGGGAACCACAACAACGCAGCCAAGAAGTTACCGACCAGGTATTAGAGATCGGGGTCGCGTAAAAGTCGAAAGCTGCAGACTGACTGTGCCATCACAAAAAATGCGTACCAGGAGCTTCATGGCTTTCATACTTCCTGTAATCTGTAATGTTTAAAAGCAATGACTCCACTCGAAAATTGCCAAACAAAAGGAAATGTGTTTGTGAAGAGTTTTTCGATCACCCTTTGCACCTAATGTCTCTCCTGTTTCTTTGCAATTAGACGGACATGTTTGCACTTCTATAACTGGGTGCTTTTTCTGTGAGCTTATTTATCATTGACTTTGTTGTGTGACCTGTTCATATTCATATTAAGCATTGTGCTAAAGTTTAAGCACTTTAAGTTTAAGTATTGGCAGCTGAAGAATTTAAGAATTAAGAATTTTATGTTAAAAATGCCAAAAAATAAGCAAATATAACAAATCTCTGCACAGACTGTATCAAAGGGAAAAGGGGAGTTTTGATCTTAGACTTATTTTCTGTATGTCAGCCACTCACTGATTACATGCTATTGTGTGACATCACATTAAAGTGCAGAGCTGGTATTATTCAGCACACTGACACTGCATCTACATACCACTGATACTGCCATTATTTTCTTTGTACCTTGTTCTGCTCGCCTGGTGTGTTTTGGATGTTTTCTTGTCTCTCACAGGTGTGAATGTATTAGCAGCTGTGCTTTTATAACGCCTTCATCTGGTCTTGTGTCCTTTCAGAGACCAGCTCTGGTTTGCAGTGAGGCTTTCAGTGCATTCCTCTTCAAGCACTGTCCTGTGGTAGCTGAGCGCTTCAGTCCCACTCCGTGGTGCTGGGGAGGCCGACTTCAAACGCTGGTCTTTGCTGTCCTCAAATCCAGACCCCCTGTCAGTTATCGCAAGTAGGAAGAAACCCTCTTTTTTCAGTTCACCACTATTTACAAGAGGGTTAAAAATCTTAATCTAAACATTTAATTAAATAATGAATATCTTGTCTCGTCCCTTCATCTCCCAGTGAGCTGATCCGTACAGTGGATGGTGGTCAGATCTCTCTTGACTGGTTGGACAATCAGGCCAGTGTGACCTACCCAGAATCCTCCACGCGTCCCACAGTGCTCATCCTCCCAGGGATTACAGGAAACAGCCAGCAGTCCTATGTGCTTCACGCCGTTAGCCAGGCCACACGCCACGGTTACAGGTCAGCTGCACTCCTCACACAAAATGAAGTGATCTTGAAGCAGCGCTAACAGGAAAGTTTACATTAAGCAGGAAGCTTAATGTAGCTTGTGCCCGGTATTTGCCTGAAGCAGTTTTCATAAATACTTTCCTTCCTAGATGTGTGGTCTTCAACAACAGAGGTCTTGGAGGGGAGGAGCTGCTGGTAAGTACAATGAATACCTAATAAATTTATAGTTAAGTAAAATCTAATTCTCAAAACACTGTTTAAGAAAGAAGCTCATGTTCCAGAATGAACACATTCAAGCTTGACTGAAATTTGCCCTCGTGGAGAAGCTAAATGCCTTCTGGAGAAAACTTTATGGTCATGTTCTGAAGGCAGGACTGTGATGCAGTTTTCTGCCTCGCCACTAGAGGGCGCGGCCGTTTTGTGAGTAATGTTTGACTGGGATGGAAAATGGTGTTCATGAAGGCAGTGTGAATCACAAGTTATTCTCGGGAGCAGTTTATGTGGGTTCAATGAGAGTGTGCGTCCATAAGACTGGTGAGTTACAGGATATTTCTTGTGTAAGAAGGATAGCCTGTATGTTTCTTGCTCTGGACGTCCTCTGTTTGTACATTTTCTATAAGCTAAGTTATCGCTAAGCTAAGCGGGCTAAGCTAAGCTAAGTTCGCCTAGGCCAAACTGAGTTCAGTTTGAGTTGGGGATTTGTTATGTGTATTTGCCTTCTTTAGTTGGCATCATAAGTGAGTGGGGCACAAGAGTTAAGTGATGGGAAGATGTTTATTTTCTTTGTTGTCAAATATGGTTCAGACTATAAGTAAAAGCCGCCAGCTTAGTATTAGGGCCTATAAGACAAGTATGTGGCTGTAATATGTTATATGGTGATTATTGTTGTCTATAATTTGATTGTAATTTGTGTTCTATTTTCCATTCTGTTTGTAGAACCACACACACACACACACACATACCCACACCCACGCTAAATCTGCCATTAAAGAGCTGAACGATCATCCCCTGTCCTCGTTAATTTCTGGAGGGTCATAGTGGCACTTGACCTGTGCACACCCTGCGATCACCACCGTAGAACTGAACCTCATATCAGAAATCATCATAACAAAATTGGTCCTTCGAGCCGGATAGGTGATTACAGAGTGAAGATGGATTATGACCCCCAGAGAGCAGGTGCACGTCCACGGAGGGCTGTGCGACCACCAGGATGGATGACTCAGTATGAAGGCTACACACTGCCACCCACTGCTACATTGGAGCAACAGCAGACTAGAGAGGGATACGCCAAGATGACGCCCCTCACCCAGACTCCTGGTTCTATTGGAGCTGCAGGACAGACTCCAGTGTCATCCAGCATCCCTCAGGAGTTCATGAACATTGTGCAGCAACTGCAGAAGGACAACAGGCAACTTCAGATGATGGTAGGAGACATGAGGAGGCAGATGGATCGTAATGTCAGCACGTTGGAATCCACCCGCTTACGTTCTGCCCAGCAACCAGGGGGCTACATTTCAGCTGATAACACTTGGGTCTCCACACCTCTAACTACACAGCCTTTTCCCCTGAGACCAGAGCAGCACAATATATCCTACACACAGGATGCAGCTGAAGAATGGCCAGTACCACCACCTCCAGTTTTTCTCCCAAGAGATCATCCTGATCTACCAGAGGTACAGTCTGTTCCACCTCCACCGCTACCAGCCATTGCACAAGAGCTTAGCCAACGCTTACAAGAGCTACAGTTACAGCAACCCTCAGCCACTGAAGCTCCTGAGTTTCAGCCTCGTGCGCCACAGTCCACCCCCTTATCTCAATCACTAGCTGGACCTAGTTTCGACGCAAACATGCTCCCCCCAGAACAAGTGCTGGCTCCCACTACAGCCATAGGTGTAAAGGAGAAGACCTACAGAGGACCATCGCCCTCCATCCCAGAGTTCACGCAGGGTGATCCCAGGCAGTTTGCTAGATTAAGGCTTGCCCTAGACAATATTCTCCCCTTTGATGCAACGGAGAGGTTCAAATATCAGGTCTTATGTGACCACCTTAAATTTGAGGAAGCTCTTTTAATTGCTGACTCCTACAGTAACTCACCTCACCCCTACTCTGACACGATGGCCTCGCTCATTAAACATTACGGTCAGCCGCACCAGCTGTCACTGCAGAGGATAGCAGAGCTTATGGATGAGCCCAGCATCCGCCCAGGTGACACAACTGGATTCAGAAGGTTTGCACTGAGAGTCCGTGCTCTGGTCGGCATGTTAGAGCAACTTGGGGAAGATGGACACATAGAGCTGCAATGCGGGTCTCATGTTGCTAGACTGACACGAAAGCTACCCCAAGACCTACGTGCTGCTTTCCGCCGCTACCTTTACCCACAGAAAGATGGAATACCATCATTGAGAGACTTTGCAGAGTGGCTGGAGTATGAGCTGGTCATTCAAGAGGGCGGAGATCACACAGAGAAGGTAGAGGAGAGCTCGAGAGACAGGAGCAGCATGAAAAGAGATAAACGAGCCACCAAAAGGACTACCACCGTGCTGCATGGTGCAACACACAACACTGCCCCCAAAGGTCCTCAGCCACAACCCCTTCCACTTCTGAGGTCCAAGACAAGCACACAGCTTATTGTCCATATTGTAATAACACTCTGCACTTCCTAGATCAATGTGTCAACTTCAAGATGCTGACTAAGGAGCAGAAATCAACTTGGATTAAGTCCAACAATCGCTGCTGGCGTTGTGGGCGGCACCACCAGGCCGCTCAGTGTCGACTTAAAGTGCAGTGTAAGACATGCAGGGGAAAACACCTAGAGGCCCTGCATGAAGTGAATCTCAGACCTGCTGCACCCAATCCACCAATGGAACACGTCGCTGAGCTGGGGAGTAAACCATCTACTGAGGTACTTTATCTAGACCGGCGTGCTGGCTGTAGCCAAGTACTTCTGAAGATAACCAAAGTGCTGCTGCAGAACGGTGAGCACACCCTGGAGACATTCGCCATATTGGATGATGGATCTGAGAGGACGATCCTTCTCCCTGAGGCCACTCAAAGACTGCAGTTACAGGGCACAGCAGAGAGTCTTACTCTACGTACGGTGAGACAAGGATTGAGAACCTTGCATGGAGCATCAGTGACAGTCAAAGTCTCCCCTGCCAGCCAACCATCCAGAACATTCACCATTGAGAGAGCCTTCACAGCAGATGACCTAGGCTTGGCTGAACATTCCTACCCTGTGAAGGCACTTCAACAGAAATATAGACACTTGAGAAGGCTTCCCTTGCAGCCCTTCACAAATGCCCAGCCACTCCTTCTGATCGGCTCTGACTGTCCTCACCTAGTAACGCCCATCAAACCTGTGCGCCTAGGCTTACCTGGAGGACCAGCTGCAGTCAAGACTAGACTTGGTTGGGTACTACAGGGACCAATCCCCTCCCTTAAGCACTCTGCTCAACCACAACAGTGCCTCTTCCTCTCAACTGCCTCTCCTCAATCAGAGCTTCATAGTCAAGTAGAGAGGCTTTGGCAACTTGACACTCTCCCATATCGAAGTGAGAAACTAGTGACACGGTCTCGGAGGGAAGAGCAAGCTATGAGGCTTTTGGAGGCAAAGACGACAAGACTGAATGTCGAGGGAGTAAACAGATGTTCAACTCCCCTTCTGCGTGTCAGTGATATGCCTACACTCCGGGTGCCACCTGAAGCAGTACTCCCCAATCTACGTGGCACGGAGAAGCGCCTCAGTCGAGACCCAGAGAAGGCTAAAGCTTATCAAGCGGAGATGGCAAAGTTGATAGCAGCAGGCTATGTCAGAGAAATCAGTGAGGAGGAAATGAGGGCCTCCACAGAATCATGGTTCATCCCCCACCACATGGTGACACACAACGGAAAGAACCGTGTGGTGTTTAATTGCTCATTCACCTATAGGGATCAGAACCTCAACGAGCTGCTTTTACCAGGCCCGAACCTGGGGGCCTCTCTTCTTGGTGTGCTGCTACGCTTCAGAGAACGCTCCATCGCAGTTAGCAGTGATATCAAGGGGATGTTCCACCAGGTGAGACTACTGCCTGAGGACCGGCCACTACTACGTTTCCTCTGGCGCGATCTGCAACGAGACACCCATCCCAAGGTGTATGAATGGCAGGTGCTCCCCTTTGGGACAACATGCTCACCGTGCTGTGCAATTTATGCACTCCAGCGACACGTCCATGACCACAGTGACCAGGGAGATGACGTGTGTGACTCCATTGAGAAGAATTTTTATGTTGACAACTGGTTACAGAGCTTCTCTTCTCCAGATGTGGCCACAGAGGTTGTGGACAAACTACGGTCACTATTATCGGAGGTAGGATTTGAGCTCAGACAGTGGGCCAGCAGCACCCCAGATCTCATCAGCCATCTACCAAAGGAAATAAGATCGGAGAGCAGCGTACAGTGGCTGAATCAAACTGATATGGACCCTCAAGAACCTGCTCTAGGTTTGCGCTGGATGTGCTGCTCTGACACTCTGCACTACAAGTCCATGCAGTTGGAGAGGAATCCTCCTACCATGAGAAACATCTACCGGGTTCTGGCGAGTCAGTATGACCCACTAGGGTTTCTCGTCCCCTTCACAATGAGGGCGAAGGTACTAGTCCAGCAGCTGTGGGACAAAAAGCGTGAGTGGGATGACCCCCTGTTACCAAGTGACCTGCTCTCGGCATGGAACGAATGGGAGGGTGAGCGGCAACATCTGGACGACATTAGTCTACAACGTTGTTATGTAAGCCCAGAGCTGGACAAATCTGACAGTAGGCGTGAGTTGCACATCTTCTGCGATGCATCTCAACAAGCATATGGAAGCGTTGCCTACCTACGGACGGAAGATGCTGCTAGAAAGGTGGAAGTTGCTTTCCTGACTGCCCGCTCTAGGGTGGCCCCTAAACGGCAGATGTCCATGCCACGTCTGGAACTATGTGCAGCCTTGACTGGAGCTCAACTTGCTAGCCTGCTGACCAAAGAGCTCACCCTACCACTATGCAGAGTGGTGTTATGGACAGACTCCACCACTGTCCTAACATGGATCCAGTCAGAGTCCTGTCATTTCAAGGTGTTCGTGGGAACTCGGATAGCTGAAATCCAGGAACTGACAGACAGCCAGTCTTGGCGTTATGTGACAACATATGACAATCCGACAGATGATCTAACTAGGGGTAAAAGGCTACAAGACCTCACAGTCCAGTCCCGGTGGGCATGTGGGCCCCCGTTTCTGCAGCTACATCGAGACCAGTGGCCAGAGCACCCAGCCACACCATGTACAGACTTTGCTGAGGAGCAGCGTAAATCAATAACTTGCTTAGCTGTGTCTACTGACTATCTCCCTGCCTGATGCACAGCAGTTTACCAGTTTTAGCAAGCTTTTGGAAGAAACAGCCAGGTGCCTTCACGGGGCGGCTGGTGACAATCTCACATCAGAGAACTACAAGGAGGCTGAGCTTATTCTGCTGAGAGCTGCTCAGAAAGACAGTTTCCCTGATGAGATCCAGTGCCTGACCACTGGGAAACCAGTTCTCTCATCCAGCCGTCTGTTTTGCCTAGACCCGGAATTTGATAAGTCGCTTCAACTCATAAGAGTAGGTGGTCGTCTCAGACGATGCCATGATTTGGAAGCTGCTGTGATACATCCAGTAGTATTGGACCCTAAACATCCAGTCACCAGACTACTCATCCGACAGGCTGACAGTGATTTGAAACACCCAGGAGCAGAGAGATTGTTTGCAGAGTTGAGAAGGAAATACTGGATTCTTCGCGGCCGTGAAGCCGTAAGAAGCGAACAGCGCTCCTGCCCTGAGTGCCAAAAATGGAGAGCCCAACCTGCCAACCCAAAGATGGCTGACCTTCCCCTTGCACGCCTACGATTACATCAGCCAGCCTTCTTCTCAACAGGCATCGACTGCTTTGGGCCAATGCAGGTGAAAGTTGGTCGGAGAAATGAAAAACGCTGGGGCCTGCTCTTCAAATGCTTGACGACTCGTGCCATTCATATTGAGGTGTTGTCTAGTATCAACACCGACTCATTTCTAATGGCATTAAGAAGATTTGTCTCTCGTCGTGGGAAACCAGCTGAGATACTGTGTGACCAGGGAACAAATTTCCGAGGTGGGGATCGGGAGCTCCAGGAAACTTTCAAAGCCCTGCATCCCTCTTTACAAGGCAAGTTAGCAGAGCAGCAGATCAAGTTTCGATTTAACCCTCCCAGTTCTCCCCACTTTGGAGGATCCTGGGAGCGAGAGATCAGGTCCATAAAGGCAGCTCTGGCCTCCACATTGGGCTCACAGGTTGTAAAAGAGGAAATACTCCGAACAGTGTTGATCGAGATCGAGGGAATACTCAACTCGAAACCTTTGGGGTACGTGTCATCAGACGTGGCTGACCCAGACCCCATTACCCCAAATTTGTTGCTGATGGGGCGGCTAGACCCTTCCCTACCCCAAGTGATATACCACGACTCAGAGCTCATTGGACGACGATCATGGAGGACCTGTCAGGTGTTATCCGATCGCTTCTGGACACAGTTCATACGCCACTACCTGCCTACACTGCAGACACGGTCAAAGTGGCAGAAAGACACTGCTCCGATCCAGCTGGGCACTGTGGTGATGATAGTGGATCCCCATCTTCCCAGAGCATCATGGCCTGTTGGGAAGATCAACAGGGTATTCCCCGGAGCTGATGGTTTGATCCGATCTGCAGAAGTGGACGTAAAGGACCGTACCTATGTACGCCCAGTGAGCCGCCTTATTCGACTACCTGCAGTACCAGAACAAAATGGACAGTAAATGACATTCTGCAAACTTGCGAGGGCAAGTTTGGGGGCGGCTGTTCTGAAGGCAGGACTGTGATGCAGTTTTCTGCCTCGCCACTAGAGGGCGCGGCCGTTTTGTGAGTAATGTTTGACTGGGATGGAAAATGGTGTTCATGAAGGCAGTGTGAATCACAAGTTGTTCTCGGGAGCAGTTTATGTGGGTTCAATGAGAGTGTGCGTCCATAAGACTGGTGAGTTACAGGATATTTCTTGTGTAAGAAGGATAGCCTGTATGTTTCTTGCTCTGGACGTCCTCTGTTTGTACATTTTCTATAAGCTAAGTTATTGCTAAGCTAAGCGGGCTAAGCTAAGCTAAGTTCGCCTAGGCCAAACTGAGTTCAGTTTGAGTTGGGGATTTGTTATGTGTATTTGCCTTCTTTAGTTGGCATCATAAGTGAGTGGGGCACAAGAGTTAAGTGATGGGAAGATGTTTATTTTCTTTGTTGTCAAATATGGTTCAGACTATAAGTAAAAGCCGCCAGCTTAGTATTAGGGCCTATAAGACAAGTATGTGGCTGTAATATGTTATATGGTGATTATTGTTGTCTATAATTTGATTGTAATTTGTGTTCTATTTTCCATTCTGTTTGTAGAACCACACACACACACATACCCACACCCACGCTAAATCTGCCATTAAAGAGCTGAACGATCATCCCCTGTCCTCGTTAATTTCTGGAGGGTCATAGTGGCACTTGACCTGTGCACACCCTGCGATCACCACCGTAGAACTGAACCTCATATCAGAAATCATCATAACAGGTCAGATCAGACAAATATTAGCTTTTTGGCCATAATGACAAGAGGTGTGTTTGGAGGAGTAAAAGTGAGGATTTCAAATATGAAAACACTGTCTGGGGTTGTTTTCCTGCCAGTGGTGCGGGCACATTAAACAATGTGGATGGAATGATTCTAGTGTATCCAGAGAGTACTCAGAGTGCTTCATTTGTTCCACTTTTTTCATGTTACAGCCCTATTCCAAAATTTTTATTTTTCACCACAAAATTCTGCAAAGTAGAACACCCAAGTGCTTGTGAGTTTAATAATAAAAACATAATATGTACATAGGAATTTGCAGCCTTTGCTCAATACTTTGCAGAAGCAGCTTTGGCAGCAATTACAGCTCAGGTCTTTTAGAGTATGATGTTACAAACTTGGCACGCTAACCTTTAGGCAGTTTCTCCCATTCTTCTATCCAGTTGGAGGGGGAAGGTTGGCATACACCGATTTTTCTGATTTTTTTCCAGAGACATTCAATTGGTTCAAGTCTCGGTTCTGGCTGGTCCAGTCAATGACATTTGCAGAGTGGAAACCACTCCTTTGTTTGTTTGGTTGTGTGCTTTGTGTGCCTTGTTGGAAGATGAACCTTTACCCCAGTATGAGTTCCAGAGCACTCTGGGGCAGGATGTTTTGATATATTACTGCGTTTATCTTGCCCTTGACCCTGACTAATCTCACAAAAACATCCGCACAATATGATGCTGCCACCACCGCGCTAAATTTGATGTCATGGTATTGGCTGCCTGGTTTCCTCCAGACATAAAGCTTGACATTGAGGCCAAAAAGTTCAAGCTTTTGACCCAACAAAACAATGCATTTGTGACCAGTTTTCTAAGATTAATTTCTTCAGGCATAGTTAGTTTCAGTGTTTTTCTTAATATAAATATGGAGAACGTCATCCTCAGTGCACCATTTCACAGCAGTAATAGCACTAACAGAAGATCTGAGGCTTAAGCACTGCATGTAACTGCCCTCCTGTATCCCTCTGCTTGCTTCAGACACCAGTCACCTACTGTGCTGCCAATACTTCAGATCTTGAGTGTGTGGTGCAGCATGTCAAAGGGCTCTACCCCAGTGCTCCTGTGCTTGGGGCTGGTGTGTCTTTGGGAGGGTGAGTTGGTGCATAGTGTTTCTGCTGGCCTCCATTTCTGGACCTAGATTTGTCGTCTGTGTCTTTCCTCAATTTCTTTTATTATTTTTTTTCAACAATTTTATGATTCGTTTCTTTTCACCCTGCTGCAGCATGGTGTTGTTAAACTACCTGGCCCGTAAGCACACAGAGTCAGGATTGGTTGCCGGTATCACCATCTCCGTACCCTGGGATGCATTGAAGTTCTCCAGCTCGATGGAGGAACCGCTCAACTGGCTGCTCTTCAACAGGCACGTCACGAAATCCTTGCACCAAATTCTCAACAGGTCGGATAAGTTACGGTTGCTAAATCTACATTTGCGTTTGTAAATCCAGTTAAATAAAAAAACAAAAATCTGTTTCTCACAGGCACAGGAAGATTTTAGAGAAAGTGGTGGATGTTGACTATGTCCTGAAGGTATGATACAATATTACTCACAGTTTGTCAGTTTCTTAGATGTATAATTGACTTTCCATTCATCGTCATCTTGTTTTCACACCCCCTTGTAGGCTCGGTCCATCCGGGAGTTTGACGAACGCTTCACGTCTCTGATGTTTGGTTATAGCTCATGTATGGATTATTACCGCGATGCCAGCCCAGGCAAAAAGCTCCCCAATACAGCCGTACCCATCCTGTGTCTCAATGCCGCTGATGACCCTTTCTCTCCACAGACTGGTGAGTACACAACAGGAGAGGTGTGTCAGTATAAGCACTGCAAAGGGGAAATAACAGCTGTAATGGTTTACTCATAAATGCTGATTCAGTAGGCCTTGTCAGATTTGGCGCACAAAAGATAAATCAAGTTTTGTAATTGTTGAGAATTTATATTCTTCTTAACACAATTCCTTTTTTTAAAATGTAATCAAGGATGTTGAAGTCACATGAAAGGTTTCCGATTCATGTGTCTGCTTTGTGTCTACTCTGCTGTCTGTTTATATTCATTTGGACTTTTTCCGTCCTGCTCTCACAGCCTTCCCAGTGTCTATAGTCCAGGATCTTCCTAACGTCGCCCTGGTATTGACGGCACACGGGGGACACATTGCCTTCTTGCAGGGTTTTTTTCCTCGAGGTGAGAACTACATGGAGCGCTTGTTTGGCCAGTTTGTGCACGCAGTCTTTGAACACCAGGAGGAAATGAAGCAAGCCTGTGGTATCAGAGAGGAGCAGATGAAGGACTAACGAGCAATATGAAGGCACTTACACTGAAGTAATACAACATTTGCAGCTGCAACTCTGCTCATCTACCTCATGACCTCAGGTTCATGTTCTGTAGACAGTCAAATTTTCCTATGATTACACTTTTGCATGCCGTAGAGTGTGGATGGGACACCAGTGGTTAATGAGCTGACACGGTGTAAAGACCAGTAACACCCTGTGTGGGCTTTCAGATAATTGTATCTGCTGCCATAAAGTGTAATAATGAATCGTAAGCGTATCATGAGGACCAGATCACTATGTATGTGTGCTGAATGTATTTTTATTAGCAGTAAACTGAACATCAGTTTTTTGTTTGTTTGCAGTGATTTCCATGACAGAACCATACCTGTTTTCAATGCAGTGCCGCGCGATGGCCTGGAGGTCACGGCCATTTAATACTGACTTTTTGCACTTGTTCTCTGTGCACAGAGATTCCTCTAGATTCTCTGAATATTTTGATGATATACTATGATGAGATATTCAGCGATTTTATGTTATTCTGAAATTGTTTCACAATTTTTTGCACATTGGTGAACTTCAGCCCATCTTTACTTCGGAGAAACTCTGCCTCCCTAAGATGCAGAAATATTCCTGACCTGTTGCTAATTAATCTAATAATTTGCTAAATATTTCACTAGTTGAGAACAAGGTAACATAGGGTTTTGAAATTGATATCGTAGATGTCTAATATGAGGCTGAGGATTAGCACTGCCAACCACCAGTATTTTTAGTGAATGTTAATTCACGTAATAGGGCTAGTGGCAATATTTTTATGGGTACTTGTATATTTGGTGTCAAAAGACATGAAGGAGGAGAATGGAGCAAAGGCCACAACAAACGTTTATGGTGATAATAAATCAACCTGAGGGAAAGGTGGGATAAACAAGAGTAAGTTGAAGTGTACAAAAGGAGAAATGAGGTGAGGAGGGAAAAGGAGATACATTTGTACATACTGAACTGATCAGCACAGGATACACTGTTAGAAATATGAGGCAGAAATAAGGCAATTCAATTTCATTCAAGTCCTCAGACGAAAAATAGATCTAATAAATATTTTAAAAATGCCAACTTAGCTGATAAAAATAATTATTTTTGTTTTTAAAGCCGTAAATAAACAAAAGTTTCGATCCAAGCTCCACACCAGCTCGTGGCGGTAATGCAATCATTTATTGATTGTTTTTGATTGAATCTTTATTTTGAACTTGTTGAAACAGTATAACAACATAGAATTAAAACGAGACAAACAAACAAAGAAAAACAAAAGGAAAACGAGCAACCACAACTACAAATAACTTTCATGCTCAAAAAGGAGCAGGAAGAAACATAAGCTTATTTAATCCCACCCCCTTTTCCACTATCTTGGAAATCAACAGACTACAGAAATCCTCCTTACACGTAAAATATATTTTACGTGTATTTAAAAAAAATGTATATCTATCTTTCTATCTATCCATATATATATATATATACACACGTATATATACTCATTTTCAATAACCCCATAGAAAGTAAAAGAAAAACTATATCTCCATATTTGTAGTTTACATGGATCGTAGCCATGACGTTGAAGTTGGAGCTTTTGTCCAATCAGGAGCTTCGCCTGTGAGAACTAGGAAGCAGCTGCTCCCGGAGAAAACACCAGACTTATTACCTGATGGCTACCGGCGTCTAACGTAATATCGCCAAGGCTGCTGGGAAGAGTCGAAGTACAACATATTGAACGTTAGATGTTTCTGATGAAGGCAGGTTGTCGGGCATTAAATATCATATTCTTTCTGTCCTGTTATTCCGTTGTGTCGGTTAACGACGTCGTCGGCTAGCAGCTCAGCTGTCAACCGCACTTAGACCGTTGTCATGTTTCTGACTCATGCGGAGGTATGGAGAACATACTGGGAGTGTGTTTCCAGGCCATACACGGTGATCATCTGCTCCCTCACAGCCACAATGTACTATCTGTGGGGCCGCGAGTGTCAGGTCAGTCTCTGCGGTCGAAGTTAGCGGCAAAGACTCCGCCATACCCGCTTTGACTTACAGTTTAGTTGGATTTTTAAGCGTTTTATTTCCTTTAAAATGAAGATCACTATATCCTATTAACTCCTATTCGACTTTATCTGTGGTATTTTGTTTTTCTAATTAATTAAAAAACTGTTTTTTCGTTTTATTTATTTACATTTTTAAGCTTATTTAACATTTGGTCCATAATTTTACAGTTTTTAGTGTTTGGGTTCAGAGGTTTGTACTCAAAGCTCTGAACCTTTTTTAAAAAAAAATTAACTTTATTTTGTATAAAATTAAATCTGTAGGTTATAATATTGTAATATGTGTATCATCTGTGTATGAGATATGATCTTTTATTCTACAAAATTATTGATTCCATAAATAAAACTGGAAGAAGATCATGGTTATGAGTGATCATTTGGTAATAAGCAGTATATCAGCTTTATTCATAATAAGTGTTTTACTTAAGTTTAAGCAGCTAAAGTGAGGATAATTTCAAAGTATGGTCAATAGTAGAATTTGTTTATGTAGAAAATGCAGAAAAAATAAATATCTAAAATATCTTCACAGACTGTAAACAAGACAATATGAATTTTGAATTGATTATATTTGAATACTATTTTCAAATATCTAAAACGTTGGTAAGAGTTATTTTCTCATTGTTAGCTACTTGCTAATCAAATGCTATTGTGTAACATCACATCAAAGTTTCCAAGTGATGTATTTCTTGCAGAGCTGGTCACATCACATCTACATACCACTGATACTGCCATTATTTTCTTTGTACCTTGTTCTGCTCGCCTGGTGTGTTTTGGATGTTTTCTTGTCTCTCACAGGTGTGAATGTATTAGCAGCTGTGCTTTTATAACGCCTTCATCTGGTCTTGTGTCCTTTCAGAGACCAGCTCTGGTTTGCAGTGAGGCTTTCAGTGCATTCCTCTACAAGCACTGTCCTGTGGTAGCTGAGCGCTTCAGTCCCACTCCGTGGTGCTGGGGAGGCCGACTTCAAACGCTGGTCTGTGCTGCCCTCAAATCCAGACCCCCTGTCAGTTATCGCAAGTAGGAAGAAACCCTCTTTTTTCAGTTCACCACTATTTACAAGAGGGTTAAAAATCTTAATCTAAACATTTAATTAAATAATGAATATCTTGTCTCGTCCCTTCATCTCCCAGTGAGCTGATCCGTACAGTGGATGGTGGTCAGATCTCTCTTGACTGGTTGGACAATCAGGCCAGTGTGACCTACCCAGAATCCTCCACGCGTCCCACAGTGCTCATCCTCCCAGGGATTACAGGAAACAGCCAGCAGTCCTATGTGCTTCACGCCGTTAGCCAGGCCACACGCCACGGTTACAGGTCAGCTGCACTCCTCACACAAAATGAAGTGATCTTGAAGCAGCGCTAACAGGAAAGTTTACATTAAGCAGGAAGCTTATTGTAGCTTGTGCCCGGTATTTGCCTGAAGCAGTTTTCATAAATACTTTCCTTCCTAGATGTGTGGTCTTCAACAACAGAGGTCTTGGAGGGGAGGAGCTGCTGGTAAGTACAATGAATACCTAATAAATTAGAATAATATCAAATTAGTTTTTAAAAATCTGTAAGTAACATGTCAATACACTCTGAAGGACCCCAGTTGAGTGAGGAAAGTGAGGATTTTAGAGCGGGAGGACAGAAATGAGAAGTAGGAAACTGTGGTGGTCTTGAACTCTGATCCCCCCTGCAAGGATTCTAGCCTTTGGTAGATGGGTTGCCAATGTATTTAATCCCAATTTAAAACAGTTTCAGATTAAAAAAAAAAAACCAAACAAACAAAAAAAGTGAATTGAAAGTATTTTCTGTGTGTTTAAGTAGTAATTTAAGTTTTTCCACTGATACACCATTTCAGACCAATAATAACACTAACAGAAGATCTGAGGCTTAAGCACTGCATGTAACTGCCCTCCTGTATCCCTCTGCTTGCTTCAGACACCAGTCACCTACTGTGCTGCCAATACTTCAGATCTTGAGTGTGTGGTGCAGCATGTCAAAGGGCTCTACCCCAGTGCTCCTGTGCTTGGGGCTGGTGTGTCTTTGGGAGGGTGAGTTGGTGCATAGTGTTTCTGCTGGCCTCCATTTCTGGACCTAGATTTGTCATCTGTGTCTTTCCTCCATTTCTTTTATTTATTGATTTTTAACAATTTTATGATTCGTTTCTTTTCACCCTGCTGCAGCATGGTGTTGTTAAACTACCTGGCCCGTAAGCACACCGAGTCAGGATTGGTTGCCGGTATCACCATCTCCGTACCCTGGGATGCACGTAAGTCCTCTGACTCGATGGAGGAACCGCTCAACTGGCTGCTCTTCAACAGGCACATCACGAGATGCTTGCACCGCGCTGTCACCAGGTTGGATACATTTGGGTTCATAAATTTTGTCTAACAGTTTTGCGTTTGTAAATCCAGTTAAATAAAACCCCAAAATCTGTTTCTCACAGGCACAGGAAGATTTTAGAGAAAGTGGTGAATGTTGACTATGTCCTGAAGGTATGATACAATATTACTCACAGTTTGTCAGTTTCTTAGATGTATAATTGACTTTCCATTCATCGTCATCTTGTTTTCACACCCTTTTGTAGGCTCGGTCCATCCGTGAGTTTGACGAACGCTATACGTCTCTGATGTTTGGTTATAGCTCATGTATGGATTATTACCGCGATGCCAGCCCAGGCAAAAAGCTCCCCAATACAGCCGTACCCATCCTGTGTCTCAATGCTGCTGATGACCCTTTCTCTCCACAGACTGGTGAGTACACAACAGGAGAGGTGTGTCAGTATAAGCACTGCAAAGGGGAAATAACAGCTGTAATGGTTTACTCATAAATGTGACGTTTTTCAGATTTTATGGTCCTATTCGAAAAAAACAAGTTGGGAACATTGTGTAAAATTGAATGCTTTACTGAAAGTTGTACAAGACATCATATTAAAAGTGTACTGCTAAAGAAAACACCTGGTGGAACATTAGTAACACGGTTGGGTATAAATAGAGCATCCAAGAGTGTCTAGGTTTCTCAGAAGTAAAGGTGGGGCAGCGTTTACTACTCTGTTAAAGACTACACGAAAAAATAGTTGACAGTAAAGTTTCTCAAAATAAAGCTGCAAATGATCTTGGAATTTTAGAGAATCAAGCAAACTCTCTGTATGCAAGTGACAAAGCTAAAAACCAAGGCTGATATCTTAAGGCCCTTAGGTGCCAGTGGGTTCATTGCCACAGACTCAGGAACACTACTGAAAACATATGTAAGCGAATACAGTTCAATACTGCATCCACACATGCAAGATAACACTCTCTCAAACACTTTCATCTTTGTGTGTGAGCTCATTTAAGATGGACTGAAGCGACGTCAAAACAGATGATTGAATTTATCTCTATTATATTAGGAAATGTCTCATTCTTTTTAGCACAATTCCTTTTTTTATATGTAATCATGGACGTTGAAGTCTCCGGGTTACAAAAGGTTTCCGATTCACGTGTCTGCTTTGTGTCTACTTTGCTGTCTGTTTATATTCATTTGGGCTTTTTCTTTCCTGCTCTCACAGCCTTCCCGGTGTCCGTAGTTCAGGATCTTCCTAACGTCGCCCTGGTATTGACGGCCCACGGGGGACACATTGCCTTCTTGCAGGGTTTTTTTCCTCTAGGCGAGAGCTATATGGAGCGCTTGTTTGGCCAGTTTCTGCACGCAGTCTTTGAACACCGGGAGGAAATGAAGCAAGCCTGTGGTATCAGAGAGGAGCAAATGAAGGACTAACGAGCAATATGAAGGCACTTACACTGAAGTAATACAACATTTGCAGCTGCAACTCTGCTCATCTACCTCATGACCTCAGGTTCATGTTCAAGTCATGTAGAAATAAAAAAATGACAGTGAAGTAAAATCAGTAAAGCTATTTTGAAGTATTTAATACATTTTAGTCAATTTGAAAATATTGCTGATCAATTGATTGCTACCTACTTTCAGTCACAAAGGCCGTCTGTGCACCGCACACCTGTAGTATGTAGACTGCACTGTAGAGTTCAAGTGCTCTGCTTGTTGCTATTTAAAAAAAGTGAAGAGTTGGTTATTAAAATTAAAAACAGCATTATTGTTGTTTTCTTCTTGCTAATTATGTTTTTTTCCCTTTTGCATCAAATGCTTATTTAGTTTTGAGCCTTCAAGAAGTGTTTTCCTCGGGGTTTGTGGCATGCCTTAAAGGATGAAACTTTCCTGTGTTTATACGCTGCATGTTGTACAGTAAACGACACCAGTGGTAAATGAGCCGACACTGGGTAAAGACCATTAACGCCCTGTGTGGTGCTTCAGTATCTGCTGCTATAAAGTGTAATTAAGTATCGTAAGCATCACACAAGGACCAGATCAGCATGTACATGTACTGAATGTATTTTTATTATCAGTAGACAGTACATCAGCTTTGTTTTTGTATTACCAACAGTGCACTGATTAATATGTAGCTTTACTGTGCTAGGTGGTATTAGTGTAGGATTCATGCCATTTTTAAATGACGCCACTGCTGGCTATAAAAGGAAGTGTTTTCAATCATCGGCATGAAGAAAATAGGTGATAATGGTGCTAATTGGTGGCTTTTAATTGTCAGCGTGAGGGTGGATGAGAATTTAATTTTGCTTTTTCAGAAGTAAAAGAGGCTTTTCATGAATGTCACGAATCCATCAGCTATTTGCATGTTTACCACATTCACCTGCCTTTTAATATCTTTTTTTTTTAAACTCACGCCTTATTTATAAACTTTATGTATGGGCTGTAAAGACAATCACGGTGTTATTGCAATATCATGTAATGGTGCAATATTTGGGCATTGTATGTTCGATGGTGTATCTTGTAATTACACTACAATTAAAGGGTGATAAAGATCGACTGGTGATTTTTACATCTTGAGTTTGTCTGGAAGCTTCAAGTGGCCGTTCACTGTGATCGATAGCAAGTCGCAGCAGGTTTATTTTGTTATAGCACGTATCACCAGGTTTGACCTGTAGTGGAAAAATGTTATAACCCATATGCTGCCTGTCACTGAGTTACCCTTCACTTGCACCGCTGAAATCCGAGGCCTTTAATCTCTGAGCGCTCGAGTCATTAATGTCGCAGATTAACCAGGAAGATATCAATAATTAACTGTGAACAATAAAGGCCCACGCCCTTTGTCACAATGCTAACCCTCTAACCTCATTTAGAGTCATTTGTGGCCTAGAAAACATTCAGTGGCATTTACTCTGTGGAAAAACAGGAACCTGAAGGAGTAGCCACTTTCCGAATCTGGCAGATAAAATCTACCCTAAAATAGTTCCACACTACCCCAGCTCTTATGTGAATGCAGCCATTTGGAAGAAAGGTGCTTGTTGCGAACACATTTTTTCTTTCTAAAGACAAAAATATGAAGGTAGAAGAGTGAGGACTTGTGCAGCTTTTATGCTTCTACTTCAGCTTTGTGGCAGCTTTTGCAGTGACTTGTTTGCTTGTGCTCCCACTTTAATTTCCTCACTTCTCTGTCATCTGCGTCAGTGAGAAACAATTACTGCTAATAAACGTCACAGTAATCACAAATCAGTTCCTGTTTTTTTTTAAGGTAACAAAATAATGTGAATGAGGTATAAAAGAAGCACCCTGGTACGCTTTTCTTCTACTTGCCCGATGTGTTCTTTCGGGATGAATAACGTGCTGCAACATCGCACTTTAGCTGTGTGTTTTCTCAACTGAGCATAATTTTTACAGCCCAGCTTTCTCTCCAGCTCATCCTCCTCCTCCCTCCTCCTCCTCTTCTTCTCCTTCTCGTACTCCTGCTGCCTGTATTCCTCTACCTGGTGTGATAGGAGGAGCCTCAGGTTATGGTTAATGATTCAACACCAGAGCCGTGGAGATTGATAGATACAGAAAAAGAAGGAAAGATTTAGTGAGTGAGAGAGAGAGAGAGAGAGAGAGAGAGAGCTGGAGAGAAGTAAAAATAGTAAAGCTGTAGACGGGGAAATGTAAGCTGAGAAAGTATGCAGTGGCAGGAAAAGTAGAAGAAGGAGTATTGATAGAGAGTTTGCAGGCTGCATGCGGTGTGTCTGCTCAGGTGTGTCCAGTCTGTAGCTCATCTGGGGTTCAAGCAGGTCAGAAAAACTGCACAGAAAGCAAAAAACTTCTCTGCAGTGGAAAAGTGGATATCGTTGAGCAGCTCAAGGTGATTATTTGGCTCCTGTGATCCATGCGGCCTTCATAGGCAGGACATTAGATCACCTTGTCTGCTGATCACACCATGCCTGCAGGTGAGTGTGGCTTCAGTCTATTCGTCCACAGATTACGTGCAAATAGTGTCTCAGAGTTGTAGATTAGGTCAGACAGGCCACCTTCAGGCGTTTATCGGTTCTTTAAATATATTACTGTGTTTAAAGTACAGATCAGCATTGGTTCAGCTTAAGTTTTATTGGTTTTTGATTTACTACAGCGATTAACAAAACGTCATATCTGAGAAAAGGCTGCCTAATAAAGACAAAGCACATGACTTCCTTCCAGGTTTCTATTACAGAGTATCTTATGAGAATTCAGCTGTAGTTACACATGGCCATGAATTAATAATGAAGCAGTATGAAGTGGACTGTATGCTGGCTGTGTCAGTATAATGGTAGCTGGCATCATGTTCCTGGCGTGCAGCTGAAAAGCAGACACAAATATCTGTTTTTCTTTCTTTTTCTCTCTCCTTTTTTTGGCATTGTCTGCTTTAATATCATGTTTCCTGGGATCCTCCAGGATCATTTACAGAATATATGAATATACGCATGTTAAATGAATGATGCTCACTTTTAAAGTTCATTCAGTATTTAAATAATAACCTGTTTTGTTTTTGATTTTTTTTTTTTTTACCATTGTAACAAAAATAACAAACATGGACCAATGAAACAGCAAATATTCAAACAGAAATACAGCCACCTACCTATCAGTTGCCCCAGGGCTGAAGAATAACTGAGCAATTTCCCCCATTGAGTGTCAGCCTGCAGGCACTAAAGGTTATCATCTCAATCAGCTCAGATTGTCTTTCTCAACAGCTACAAGTTCCTAGAAAGTTTACAAATTGTGTTTGTGCACGGCTCTGTCTTAGTGTGTGCTTTGGTGACAATTTAACGAACCATCCTGAGGCAAATCTGATATTCAAGTAAGCATGTAGGGACATATTTTTATGATCTGTGTAAACTGACCATTAAGGTCTTTTTCTTTTCTGTAACACATTTATGAGCTATGTGCACTGCAGTCACGTCGCTTTCTGTACTGAAATCCCTGGAAAAATATCTAGTTTAGGCCGCTGTACATGTCTTTTTTAAGTGCCCATGCTCCCTCGCAGAACAGGAGCTGTTTATATTTCCCTGTCACATTCTGCTGGTGTTTTACTAAATGACTTTATGAGTTTAGTTTAATCTTAGGCCTGTCCAATGTTCAGGGTGAGGCAGCAGTAACCTGGGGTCATACGATGTGTGCCGTGAACACAGGCAAACAGCCTCTCCAGGGTTTTTACTGTGTGTTTAGTAAAATGGGCACATATCCAAGTGTGTTTGTATTGATTGGAGTGTTTAAAAAAAGAAAACAGAAAAGGAATCTTGTTTGCAGAGGTTCTTTAAACAGGTCACCTTGATTAAGAGAGGTATTGGATCTGGCTTGTGGTTAACTTCATTGTTAATCTCATGCAGCAGTGCTAATGAATCTGTCAGTTAATATGACCTGCTTATGCATAGTCACAGGGTTTTTTATGTCTCACATTAGTGTAACAACCCACAACCAGCAAATATAAATAATCTGCATATAAACGCAAAGCCTGGAAAAAGCGATCCATCATTTAAAGGGGTTTTTATACAGCTTTGACAGGTTTTGTGTCATTATCAGTCACAGAAACTGTAACAGATCTTCAGCAAATGCTGGCAGGGTGTGACAGCACTCAGAAAGCACCCCGTTGACTGTCCATCATTAGTCTGCATTATTCAGCAGGGCTCTTGCTGTGTGCTGCCAGTGAAGTAGGGTTCAGTGCTTTGAGAAAAAGGTATCAACACAGTTACAGTTTAAATATCACCCTTTATGGCTTTGTGTGTAGGAGTTTCCACAAATATCACAACAACTGGGGCTACATTTTATGTCTGTGTTCAGGTGCATAATTTATACAACTTCTCGTTTTCCTGTTATATGAAATTCTCCCATAAATCTTCCTTTTAAAAAAAATCTTATTCCCGCTGTAGCTATGGAGAAGCAAATAGAGGAGCTGAAGCAGCAGCTAGAAAAGCAATGTCTGATCAACAAGGAGCTGCAGAGGCAAAATAAGGACCTAGGTGAGTACAACAATAACTATATAAGCTTTAAATATTGTAGAGACTTCATTGTGCAATAGCAGGTTCATTGAGGTGAATATTGGGATATATACGAACACATGAATTAAAGGTGGAGCTCTTAAAGTTCTGAAGGTTGAGTTCAAATTTAGAGAACCAGAATGAGGCCTTCACAGGACTTTTACTTAAGATGTGGAATCAGTGGAACTTAGACAGGTAGACATGGTCAAGACAAACGGCTGAAGCAGTTTGAACAGGAAGCTTCATGTGCTCACAGAAACTGGATTAGAGAAGATTCCCTGGTCTGATAAGTCTCCACTTGTGCTGCTTGTTTTGGATGGTAGATGGTCAACATTTCACATCAACATCAAACCATGGATCCATGATCTCGTGATGATGGTGTAATGGCATGGGAGATATTTTCTTGGCACACTTTGGGTGCCTTAGTATTAGATCTTATCATCCTATTATGACCACATGTCCATGCTCTGGTGGCTAATGTGGCATGTCATAAAGCTCATGTCATCTCAAACTGGTTACTTGAACATGAGAGTTTCACTGTACTGAAATGTCTCGCATGGTCACCTTTGGGGTGTGATGGAATGGGAAAATCATGCCATGGATGACATGTGACAAAATCATGTGATGCTGTCAGGTCAATATGGAATAAAGTCTCTGAGGATTGTTTCCAGCACCATGATGAATCTATGTAATGAAGAATTAAGACAGCTCTGATCCAACCCAGTACTAGCAACATGTACCTAATTATGTGACTGATGAGTGTAAAATGTTGGAGGGATGCAACTAAAATTTTAGACTTTTTTTTTCTGATCATGGCCAGAGATCAGTTAATAGCATGGATCAGTTATTAGCATGGCCCCACTGTACATAAAACACGGAGTACACATGTAGAAAACCATGCAGTTACTCATTGGTTTATGGGCTTAAACCACAATGAGAGATGGATCAGGCTGATAAGTGGATGACATTATATACTCATGAATGGATGACATTACATACATTTATGACTTGTCAGTCATAAATGTATCCATGCCCAATGTATGCTTTATGTTATTTGTCTTTGATTGTGATCTTAATTGACAAAAGTGACATCAGTATGTGACTCAAAGACTCGAAACGGGTGATTCATAAAATAAACTCACTATTAAGGTATTTAGTGAAGTCATAAATCAAGAGACAACTAGGGTCATTCTAGGGTGATTCATTACGTTTGCATTCAGAGGAGTGGATCCCTGCAGGCCATTAGAGAGAATTTACTTTGGCTTATGTTTCAGACCCATATCCATCTTTTATATACAAAGCACAGAAATCGTCACTTTTAATGTGTTTTGCACATTTAATATGTGTTTTTTTTCTTCACATTCACAGAAAAACGACTCACCGAGAAAGAGAAACTCCTGCAACAACTGCAGACTCAGTATCATGATCTCGGTAAGCAGCTCTTCACGGGAACACAGAACAGGGACACATCTACTTATCTACTTACACACATGATTGATGCGATTTCTAATGGCGATCTGTAACCATCCATTTGTTTCTGTTACAGACTTT